TTTTTTGGCGTGGTTGTCACTTGTCAGATCGCTCCTCTCAAGGCTTTCCGCTCTGCCCGAACCGCATGCGCACGCGCACTCTGAGCATGTCCACATCCCCTTTGACGCCACTCGGTCAATCTCTTTACAGCCGCTGCACTATTTTCCGTTAGACCTGCAAGCATGTCTCGCCAGAAGCGCCTTTGTGGGTGTGCCCGCCCCCGACACAGTTTTCTCCATATAAATTGGACCTTCCTTCCTCTCCCCCGCACTCCTACGCCATTGGTTTGACAATACCTACACTGCGATACTACTTTTACTACTGACTAAATCACCACCGCCCCATACCAATGGTTAACCCACTTGCCTGTATTGCCACCGCCACCTGGCTGCTGTCTAGCGCACTTGCTGCCAACGTCCCTGTGCGGATGGAGGTAGCCCCGCTTCTCCCTGTGGCTACAGACAAAGCAGCGGGTTTGCGTGTTAGGCACCCGGATGCCTGCCCACCCGCGGCGCCGCCCACCAATTCTGGCGACCTCCCAAGCATGAGAGCGGAGGCGTTCCAGCTGCTCAACATCATCCGCAAAGCCGCTGGGAAGCCTGTCCTGCAGCTGAACGACAAAATAAACGACGTGGCGCAAGCGCACTCAGCTTACCAGGCCTCGGTAGACATGGCGACCATCAGCGACCCAGCAGGCCAGCTGAATACTCGTTTGCAGCACGGAGGCGTCAACACAAGCACTTCGTATGAGCTTGTCGCTGTCCGCTTTTCCAGCGCCATTGCAATGATGGACTCGTTCATCGACAATCCCGACGTGAAAGAGAATCTCTTGTGCGACTGCGACGCCGTCGGGTTTGGTTACGATAAAGGGTACTGGACCAACGTGATTGTCAAGCAAGCCAGCTGAACACATGTGGGGGGTTTCCATGCACGCCTTGGGGGTGGTGCGACCAGGCTGGAGGACCGGCCAAATACATCTTCTGTGCGCCTGCATTCTGCTCACTAGGGGCACTCACTAGCCGCCTTTCTTATATCGGATGTAACACTCAAAGCACACGCCTTGCATCATCAGCACCACTGCAGAACCAAGTGGAAGCAGGGGATGTCTGCCCCCTCCAACGACAGTTCCCTGTTAGCTGTCACCATTACTGTCCCAGCATGGGGCTCTGCTGCATGCCGCCACATCTGCAGGTGCCGCCAGATGGCACGCCAATGCACCACGATAGATCGCCTGTTAGATCATGCGCCCCCCGCTGGACGTCGCCTCACCTACTCCACGCGAGAGCCGAGTATAAAGCAGAGATAGCGGGCGCCTGGTGGATCGCTTGTATTTCCAGACACCCCCGCGACATTCCACCCACGGCCATACCCGACTCAGCACCAACATCCGCAAGAACAGCGCCCGAATCCATCCGCAAGCATGCTTCGCTCTATTGCTCTCGCTTCCGTGGCCGCTGCCACAGTTGCCTGTATGGCACCCACCGCCGGCACACACACGGCGCAGCACATGCACAGACGTACTTGGTACGGTGGCGCAGGCTACGGTGGTCTTGGCTACGGCGGTCTTGGCTATGGTTGGGGCTACGGGTGGAGCCTCCCGTTCGCCAGCAGCTCCATTAATGCCTTCAACGCAAACAACAACTTTGCGCACTTTAACGACGACACGCTCTTCGTCAACAACGTGGACAGCACCGTTTCCAATAGCAACGTAAACGCCTTCAACAGCGCCAACGTTGTCGCATGAGTGCCGTATGGCACAGCATATATTTTCCCCCTCATCGCTTGGGCTACAGTTTCAAAGCAATAGATCAAGCTGCCCCTGCCAGCATAACCTGCTACAGTGTCAGCGGTGGTCCATACTGGTGACTACTCCAAGGGCCCACAGCTGGACTGGACGGCACCTCTGGAGCACCCAGTGGCGTGCCAAAAAAAAAGCCGGTGCCCTGAAGCCCTACAACCGCACAATTTCAGCGCAGCGTGTCCTAAACGAAAGAATGGGCCACGCAATACAACACTATTCTACTTTCCACTTGCGCGGCGGCATAGCGTGCAACTACGCTGCGGTGGGCCAGCAATTTGATTCCGTTATCGAGTCGCGGCTGACAACCACATGGTTAATGGTTACCAGACGTAATTCCGGGATCGTGTCCAGCAGGAGCCGGGCCAGTGGTATGCTGGCATTGAGGATTGCCTGGCCAGAATTGGGGTATAAGTGCAGTGTGCGTATCTGCAGTTGTTGAAACTTTGTGTCCAGGGGCTGGTTGGTCTTTTCCTCTACAAAGCGTGTCATCTCCTGGAGCTCGATGGCCATACTGCGGATAGTCATGTGTTGCACATCCGGAAGCTTGGATAGCACCAGCAGCAAATCAGATGGGGACATTCGGCCTGAAATGGACAAGTTTTTAATGTTGCGCCACGTCATATCGGTCCAGCGACTAGTGCCTTTTGACTGATATGTCACGGTTTGAGGGTGCACTGAGTTGATGGCATCCAGAAGCACGTTTGCGGCCGCCATTGGGTTGCTAAACTCGTTAACCCGATCGCTGACAATATCGCATGTAGCAAAAAGTGCCTTTGGTAGCTCGACATTCCCCAGGTTGTTTGCAACACGGGCGGGACAGTGAAGCTTTAGCGACTGGAGGTTAGGCGGCAACAGACCACTGAATACGATTGGGCAGTTGTACAGTATGCCCGTTACCTCCAGGTGTTGTAGCTTTGGGAAAAGTAGATCCCGGCGAAGTGTACGCATGTTGCTGTCCATGACCAGCTCACCGTGGGACTTGGAGTAGGCATAAGCAACAAATAGGTGGGTCAGCGATTTGAAATGGAGCTGATGCTTGTTTGTGTCGTCACGGAAGGTGTCCCACGAGTATTGGTAGGGAAGGTTTTCAAGCTCCATGTATCTTAGCGAGGGCGCGTAGACGGACATTTCCAGAAGCCGCAGATTGTTTCTGCAGTCAACACGCAGAAAGGTAAGCTGGCTCCCAAAGGACACAGCTGGGCCAAGTGCTAACGAGCGATAATGTAACACCTGCATATGAGGGGCATACTGAGCACACAGCTTTTCAATGAAAATACTTGCCACCTTGTCATACTTGGTGCACGTAGCATCAAACGTGTGTATATTCGGAATGAGGCGGGCAAATGTACTTGCATACTCTGCTATCGCAGCAGTGTCATTTTCATTTGGATCATCGCCGCTGCTTGCACGCTTTCCAAGAAACTTGCATGTTAACCCAGTGATTCGGCTCCAGTCGATTGTTACCAGACGAAGAGCATCAAGGAAATCCCCGATAAACTGCACTTGGTCAGGTGTGTTTTGCCGCTCTATCACAATACGCCGCACATGGCGTGCATATCCACTGCTAACGATCAAGCTGAGGTTGTGCTTCCAGTAACCTATGGTCTCATAGCCAGCCAGTTCGCCGTCGCTGCCGTACACCTCGGAAAGAGCCGGAGAGACAGAGAATGTGATGGTACTATATACGAACCGCTCTGCCAGCAAACGCCACTGCTGGCACACTGCAAGCAGCTCCAGCGAGCTTGCCCAGCTATCGATATGGTAATTATCGTTGACACACGCCGCCCTGCGTAAAATGTGAAAGATAATGTCCCCAGGAAGCTGGTGGATACCTGCTTGCAGAAGCATAGGGCGGAAAGAAGGAAAAAACAGCGCGGCCTAAAGTGTGTGCGATTAATAAAGCATGCAGCTAAGAGGGGGAAAAGCAAGCAAGCAAGAGCGAGGAATGTCTGCACTTGTGTGTCCGTGTGTGAAGACAAAGGAGTGCGGAGAAGGGAGGAGCAAAGGAAGGTTCGCTTAGTAGGCTCCTTTGTCCAACTTTGGGGGAGGGTTGCCAAGCTGCCCCCCTTTTTGCCAGCAAAGTGCCAGCACCGAGCGGCAACAACGCCCGCCCTGTGTTAAAGTGTGAACCAGGCAGCCTAGCAGATCTGCTAATCAGCGCCACCACTAGAGACAAGGTATGCAAAGTGGGTGATTATCGAAAGCTTGGTGTTGCAGCGGGACTGCTACAAGCACTGCCCGGCGCCGTGCAGCTGAAGGTGCAGGCGGGTGTCTTGCCAGTGGGAACAGCAGTGCAGCGTGTTCACTGTTTCATTTCAGGCAGCAATCCATGTAGTGCGCCGAGTGCAAAGGGTGGGGACCCAGTGACCCTACTATGCGATGCTGCTGGGCAGATCGCATGTAAAAGGACGGGTGAATGGGATGTTAATATTTTGAGGCAGTGTTTGGTGTTGAGATGCCACGCGATGTGGACAAAAAGTGTCACCACGCGATGGTAGCACAACGGAATACACGGAGTGTGATCTAATTGTAAACTTCACCTCGCAGAAGTACCGAAAATAGCTCAGTTGGTAGAGCGGGAGACTGTAGTGGTTGCCCATTGGGCAGCAAGTTGTCATCTCTAGGTCCCTGGTTCAAATCCGGGTTTTCGGACTCTTTTGTTGCGCGGATGGCTTCCATTATTTTTTGCGTGGCGCTGGCACTCTTGGCCTATTCGTTGAACCGAATGTGCGCTGCACTTGCACAGAGGGTGCCACACCAAGGCCACGGCATCTTCCGTTGGCCACGCACATCAGCAAGCACACGGTGTGTAATGCACATTGGCATTTATTCCGCCATGTCCACACATAACACCCGCCCGCGCAAACGCCATCGCATGCCGACGCAAACCGCCACTCTACCCCGGCGCCAACCTTTTTGCAAAAAGCAGTGTATTTGACTACGTTGGTTGCATATCACAACCACATGCACTAGCGCTCATTGGTGGCCAGCAGAGAAACAAACCAAGGCTCTCGAGGAGACATCACCCCCCGCAGGTATCAGGCTTCATCGTCCGATAGCTCGGTGTTTGCAAAGAGGACCTGGCGGTCAACGACGCGAGCATCGCCCTCACCCTCGCCCACACCATGGTTGAGCTGCTCGTTCTCCTCATCCAGGAAGTGGTTGAACTGGGCCTCGAACTCATCGTACTCATCTGGGTCCTCCGCATCGAGGGTGGCACCATCGTCATATGAGCCAAACACCCGCTGCGCATCCTCGTTGGTCGCCAGCGGCCGGTAGGTGAAGCGACCGCCATCCCCGTCGCGAATGGCCCTGCGCGACCGCCCATCCATCGCGCGCGCAGCGCCCCACCGCGGCGGGTGCTCGTACGACCACCGCTGCAGGGCGTGCGGCAGGTACGGCGCGGCCTTGTCCAGTCCCCACAGGAATGCCTCCCTGGTTGCGCTGCCAACAGCGCCGGCGGTCGCCACCGCGCCGACAAACACGGGCTCCAGCTGCTTCAACACGCCGTCGTTCCTGCTGGCGCTGTGCCGGAGGTTGTGGATTGCTGGGCGCACGACACTGCCAATGTCCTCTAGGCGGAGGTACGGATAGTTGTCACGCCACCTGCGATAGCCCACATATGCCAGTCCCAAGAAGACGACCGGCAGAACCAGCGACCAGATGATCGCCACCGTGCGCGCCTTGCCGGGGCACCACACCTCGGTGGGGCGGTCCAACACGACGCCATTCTGGCAGATCGACTGCGGAATCCTGCGGTATGGCGCCTCAATCAGGAAGTAGTCCCGGTGGCCCTCAGTGCAGTTGGTGCGCGGCGGCTTCATGCCCTCGATCAGCACGCACTCGCCCACTGTATCGCTCTCGCTGGCGAACCTGCGGACAAAGTTGTGGTTGCACTCATAGTCCCGCTCCGTGCACTCGCAGCGGCTCGAGATAAAGTGCACGGGCTGGAACTCGGAGCCAACATAGCACTCCTGGTTGGCCACGCGTCGGTAGTACTGCACCTTGCGGCCCAGCCTGCACTCATTCTCAGCTGCCGGGTCGATCTGCGTGGGCGCAAACAGCTCAAAGTCGTGGCTCTTGTTCTTGGGGTCAAACACGCACACGCGCGGCTGCGCGCCAGACAGGTCCAGGCCGACCAGGACGCCCTTGCCGGCCCTGGTGCCGAAGAGGAGGAATCGGCGGCTGGTGCTGTCGGGGGTTGTGGTGAGGGACTCGACGCGCATGGACCTGGCCGCGTCCGGGAGGCTCAGCGCGTGCCATGTCTTGCCCTGGTCCAGCGAATAGTCGACCGCCGACACAGGCCGGAGCCGGTCTGCAGCCACGATCAACGCGCCGTGGTCGCCAAACTCGTGCCACTTGGGTCCCTTGTGTGCAAGCCGCCAGTTGGCGCCGCCATCGACGGACAGGTACGTGCTGGCCTCGCCGATGCGTTTGAGGTGGCCGCCCACGTTGCCCACGCCCATGACCATACCCACTGCGCCCGACGCCGAGTAGATGTTCTCGGGGTCCGACACCTCCGTGTATCCGTGCAGGTGCAGCGCGCAGCCGCCGCCCTGGGGCGCCGTCTGGCGGCAGGGCGCCTGGTCGACGCGCAGGTAGTGCCAGCGCGACCCGCCGTCCGTGGTGATCATCGTCTGCAGCTGCTTGGACTCGCCCTTGAGCACGGCCTGCGGGTTGGCGACCACGTTTGCGATGGCCACGCCCTCGAGCGCCCGCACGCGCTCAAAGTCGACCAGGCCGATCTCGTCCCGGTTGACGTGCTCCAGGGCGCGACGGTAGGAGACGCCCTCCGAGTTGGACGAGTACAGGGTGCCCCACTCCTTTCCGGGCACGCCGCTCTTCGTAACATGGAGCATCAGCCCGCTGTCGGGCATCTTTTGCTTGAACCCGTTCAGATCGCGGTACTCGAACCCGTCGGACGGCTCCAGCACCGTGTACGCCGGGTCGAGCGTCCGCTTGTCGCCTGGGAACTGCGCGACCTCGGCCGTGCGCCCGTCGTGCGAAATGTGCATCGTCAGCGCTTTGCCCTCGCCCGCGTCCTGCGACACCAGGAGGAACTCGCTGACAATGGCGTAGTCTGTGGCGTTGGCGACCAACACATCGCTGCGCTTGAACCAGTTATCGCTGACCACAACGTCGGCGCCGTTGTGGCCAAACTGCGGGTAGCGCATGCACACCAGCGCATGCCGGTGGACCTTGTTTGTGCGCATGGTGCGCAGGAACGAGCATCCACCGGGCCCAACAGGCGCGAGCAGCGGCTCCCAGTGCGCGCCATGGTCGCGCGACACAAACGCCTCCGCTTTGCACGCGCTGCCGTCGACGTGGGTGCAGCCTTCGTTGGGCTGGCCCAGAAAGACCAGCCAGTCCGGGTACTCGGGGTGGAAGCGCAGCGCTGGCTGGTAGGCGTGCGCCGGAGGCGCGGGCAGGTGCAGCAGCCGGGTGGTGCGCGCCTCGTCGTCTGTGAACAGCGCAACGGCGCCCTTGCGCGGCATAAAGTACGCGTAGTTCTCAAAGTACGGCTGGCGCACAATCGACGCAAACGCGACAGGAGCATCCTTCCCTGCCGCGCCCTTCCGCTCCGGCGGGTCGAGGGGCGCCCACCGCCCGCCCTCGTCGAGGCTCACATAGACGGAGCCGCTCTCGGTGCGCGCCACCACATGCACCGAGTTCTTAAAGTACTGAACCTCGGTGACCGGTCCATCGACGACGTGGGCTGTGGCGCGCACGCCGCCCGAGCGGCCGCACACGCGCTCGACGGGCGCGGACAGGTCCTTCCCGCCCGTGCACTTGGACCAGGGGTTCCGGCGGTAGCCGGAGCGGCCCATGTACGTGGTGCCATCGCGGCAGTCCTTTGGCAGGCCGGGGTCCGGCCCATCCAGCTCGCACTGGCCATAGTCGTTGAGCCAGAAGCCCTCATCGCATTCGAAGTCCTGGGCGGTGCACTCGCACGGCCGCTCGCGCGTCTGCGCGGGCTTGAACTCGTCCCCGACATAGCACGCGCTGGCTGGCTTGCGGCGCCAGTAGGACGTCTCGGCGCCCAGGACGCAGATGGCGTCGCGCGAGCTCCAGCGCGGAGTCCACAGCTCAAAGTCGCTCCGCGAGTGGTCGTGCTCATCCAGCACGCACTGGTGCTTGTGAATGCCGGAAAAGTCGACGCTGGTGAGCTGCGTCTCATCCTGGCTGACACCGCCTCCAGTGACAACGCGGCCCTGGATCAGCACGCTCTGTCCGCCGCTCGTCATTCCGTTGGTGATACGGTCAATAACGACCCGGCTGTCGGAGAACCGGTAATTCATCCACGTCCGGCCGCCGTCGGCCGAGTAGCGCAGCGTGTCGGTGGGCGCCGAGTCGTCCACAGTCACCAGCAGGGCGCCGTGGTCGACAAACTCGTACTGCGACTCGGAGGGGCTGACTTCGACCCAACTAATACCGCCGTCGCGCGACATGTACGTGTGAGACTGCATGTAGCGGCCCAGGTGCGTGTCGACGGAGCCAATGCCCAGCAGAATGCCAGGGGCGGACGGCGCGCTGTACAGCCGCCCGACGCTGACCATCGCGGAGCGACTGAACAGGTTGAGCGTGCAGTCGGCGCAGTCGATTGCCCGTCCAGCACTGTCCTTGGCTGGCGGCGTCAGCGAGTGCCAGGTGCGGCCATCGTCCCAGCTGGCCACGGTGTGCAGGCGCTTGTGGACGCCGGTCTGCCCCAATGCGTCGGCGTTGATGACGCGGTTGGCGATAAGCATGCCACTCAGGCCCTCAACACGCTCGACGTCGACCATGCCCAGGCGGTTGCGGTTGGTGTGCTCCAGCACGCGGTGGAAGTGTGTACCGTTGCTGGTGCTTGCAAACAGCGTGCCCCAGCCAGTGCCCCAGCTGGGGTCGCCCGTGTTGGGCGCGCCCTCGACGTCGACCAGGATGGTGCCCGCGTGCGACGGCAGCAGCGTGTAGCCCTCGGGCCGGATGTTGACGCTGGGTGGGAAGCGCGCCTCGTGCATCGTGCGACCGTCGTCCGACACAAACAGCTTCAGCGCCGCCTCCGCCTTTCCGGTGTCACCTGGGACGCCGTGGACGACAGCAAACACGATGAAGCGGCCGTGGAGACTAAAGTCCACAACCTCGCTGTGCTCGGCGTCCGGCACGGGGATCAGCTCATGGGCGCTGCTCTCGAACGGGCGGAGAAACACGCGCGCCTCGACGCGGTTCAGCGCAGCCGTGTTGTGCATCTGCTCGTCCTGCTCGCTGCCCCGACCACTGGTGACGCGGAGGTTGGTGCACAGGACGGCCTCTGCGGGCAGCGCGCTGAACTTGTGCGTCCGCGCAAAGCGGCACTTTGTCGCGTGCGTGGTGATGCGCGACCATCGCGCGCCGTTGTCGCGCGAAACATAGACCTCCGTGTGGCAGCTCGGGCACCGCGTGCCGCCCACAAACAGCAGCCAGTCGGGGTTCTCCGGGTTGAAGTCCAGCAGCGGCCGGATGCGCAGGCCGTTTGCGGGTGCCGGCAGGCCCTTGATCGGCCGCCAGCTAACGCCGCGATCGTCCGTGTACAGCAACATGTCCTTCTCCGTGTAGACAAACGCGCGGTGCGTGTGGTACGGGTGGTCGGCGAGGAACACGGGCACGCCGGCGCCCTTGGGCAGGTCAACGTGCGC